TTTTATATCTTATTTTACATTCAATGAAATAAATATCTCAGAAATCATTTAATCAATTGATAACTAAACAACAAAATTGAATCTATATATAACTTCGACATGTGGTTCCTACCAATTGGAAAAAAAATTTCAAAGGTGGAAATCTCACTTGTATGTCGGTTGATTAAAAAAAACAATTAAAATTTTCACAAATCAAATAACCCCTGTCTGTATATGTAGTATACAAATTTATATACATTGTTTCACTATATAAAAGATGATATTTTTAAGGGGAAAAATAAATATAATTTATCTCAGGTTTATTTTTTTTGGTACTTTGATTTTAGAATGTTTAATATAATTATTAGGCAAATGTAGCCTGGAATTGTGGGAAAAAGATGCAATCTTGAAAAGTGCACGGAGATGTATTAAGGTTACATCAGTCAGGAAAGTTGAGAAAGTAAAAATTGAAGTCATTACGTTTATCTTTTTTGTTGGCCATGTATCCTAGTGATAGAGAGTAACCGCCATGCACTTTAATGTTTTCAAAGTAGGAATAAATATTTCATGAATTATAATATATTAAACAATCATGTGTGTTTTATGATCATCTTTTTTCTCAACAATAAATGAAGAGGAAATTTGAAATCATTTTTAGGTAAGATTTTGCATATTTCATCCGAATTGGATATCAGATGAAAAATACGGAAGATGAAACTTGATTGAAATAATAAAGAGGAAAAGTTAAGAAGAGAACAAGGAACATTTTTGACAATTATTCTTTAACAGATTAGATAGTTCTTTTGAATTACTATGTCTAGAATATTTCCTTGCCACTGTAAAGATGAGACTCACTTTTTGTATGTTTCTGTAGTCTATTATCACAACTAAGCTATTACTTTCTTAACTTCCTCCAATGTAATATATATGTATATACCTTATATGTTCATTGTATAATTTTAGTTTGGGGATATAATTCTATATATATGTACATGTATAAATAACAGAAATTCACTTTTTTAACAAGAAAACCCACCCCGAGGTTGAGTTCTCATAGAGGTAAGAGAACAGCGTGCACGACCGCTCGACCATCTAAGCAAGTCAAAATAAATTTTCTCTCTGCATCATTTGGTCATAGACCATGGCAATGTGTGACTGTGAATGAAAAGAAAAGTCAAGCAAGATATCATTTTGCATTAGAAATGCAAAAGAAAACAGGTAACTCGAAACCTCGAAGTCCGCGGGACCGAGGAAAAACTTCGAGAGATCAAGAGTTCAGGTATAGGCACCATAAGATTAATTATCAATCAATTATCACCTTGCAGAATAAGTGTCACCTGAATAAACATCCCGTTTAAATGTACTCATGTATACACTCGTGAGACAGGATTTTTTTTTATATCTAAATATAAAAAAAAAGTCCTGTCCCACTCATGAAATAAATTCAATATTCAACTCAGAACATTGAATATCATCTATTTATCCTAGATACGAAAAAACACACTCGATATTCCTAGATGTTATTAATAAATTCCAAGACAAAAGTTTTGATATTTTATAATTACGAGGGTTGTTCTAAATGTTCGTGGATGATAATATTTGAGGCGAAAAAAATGTGCTCTTTTTACAGTAAGCACAAATTTGGAGTCTGACAGGAGGTTAATCCACGAATAAAATAAACACTTGGAGACATGTTAACAGGAAAGTCATGTTGCATTTAAGTTTTTATCAACCTATAATATCTGTAGATATGTACCTCAATCGATATCTATTACATTCATTTTCTATCATACAATTTCTGTAGTCATGAATAAAAATTACCTTAGGAAAAATATTTTTGCATTGAAACAAGGACTATTTTTTAAGCGTAGATTAACAAATGAGACACCAACATGATTTCAACTGAACAATCAGCTGAATGAGAATTGCATTAAGGGTTACAACGAATACTTCATCAATTATACGCTTGAAAAAGAGGAAAATCTAATAGCAAATGGATGAAAAGCATTTTTTTTTACTCTTTTATTTTCACGCTCACAATGACAAATAATATATTTGTTAAATAAACGGTGGAAATCTAGTTTTCACAAAGTCATACTGGAAAGCCAATTTAGTCTGTATTAATTCCATTGTTCAATTGTTATAGTATCCATGTATCGGTGAATACAATCTTCAGGTGGATTCCCTTACCTAAACACCTGATCACGAGTATAGTTATGTTAGCAAAGTTTTGTCCATTTAAATGCATGAGACACTGCTCGTTTTCCTTACACTCGAAGCGCTGGTGTTCTGAACTAGACACAAACTACATTTTATTTAACATATTTTTTATTCTATTTAACAACATAAATCTTTCATAGTTTCTCAGTCCAGTCCAATAAGAAAATTCGTAATATTACAAGTTTTCGTAATATAAAACTTATGTTACGATTTTTCGTAATGTAGTTAAATTACGAATACGCGTAATATAGTAGATTGTAAGAAACTATATTACGAGTTTTCGTTATCCAAGACAAATTCAAGCATTGCAAGAAATTGAGTGGTGGGTAGCAAAGGATGACGTCAGTAATATATCAGATTCCACGGCTATTGATAGCAGGCGGTCAGATTGGTCAGTTACGCCTATCAAAAAGCATGGAAATTCAAGAAGAAAGAATCGCCAGCGATGGGTGAGTGGACAATTTCTCTTATTAATCTTTTATAGGAATTTTCCCACGGATAAGACCAATTTTCCAGTAAATTTCAATATTCGTTCAAGCATGTAGCATTGGTCTATATCACCCGAACTCCCTACTTTTCTTCCGAAGTCTACCCTAAAAATCACACCCTCGTTTCATAATTCAACTGTTTGTGCAATTCGTATTAAAGTACACAGAATTTCAAATCTCAATAAGCGTCGTACAAGTTATCGCCCGTGACATCTCGTATTAAACGCCATACTTTGCTACCCGCCACTCAATTTCTTGCAATGCTTGAGTTTGTCTTGGATTACGAAAACTCGTAATATAGTCTCTTACATCAGCTATATTACGCATATTCGTAATTTAACTACATTACAAAAAATCGTCATATAAATTTATTAAAGTTTTTTCGTAAAATTACGAATTTTCGTATTGGACTGGACTGTTTCTAATCTTTTGTTTAGATGTATAAGATTTTTTTTCATGTTTCACTAAATTGACATGCTAATAGATTTACCTGAACCACGTTTTCGAAGTAAAATGTAAACATGTATTTGGCGTAAAAGTTGCTATTCATTCAAGGATTGGTCAGTTGCTCGTGGTAAGATCCACTGTGCGCATTTATAATAATAGCCTATAAGGCAAACAAAGGTCTGTCAGTGAAGATGATATTACACATATTGTTTACCACCGTATTGATCGCTAGTGAACTATAATTTTCGCCGTTAAGTATGATAAGATATATTGTAATTTTAACCCCCCCCCTCCCCCTTCAGCCACCCTTTTTCTGTTGAAAATCATGAAACTCTTTCAAAAAGTTCTTGAAACACATTTTTTTGCAGGAAATGTTTTCAAAAGAAACAGACTGGCAATTTCCTGCTTACTGCCAATTCCATTGATAAAACGTATTCTTACCTATAGAATAGGTCAACCTAAATCACGTGGTGCATTGAATTTAAATCACAATAACATTAGTAGGGACGCTAATGCTATTTCCAGATTTTACTTGTTCTGCAACTCCAACGGCTATACATCCTTTGGTAAGGAGTCCATAGAGATATTCGAAAATGTAATAATCATCTCTGTTCCATTGCAAAAACCACTCTTTAATTTTACTTCTTGAAAGAAAAAGTGCTGATTAAAAGTTACCGATTCACATTATAGAATGCGACAACATCCCTATCATATTGAAATTTATCATAACGTTTTCATTCTATCATTTTCCGAAGACCCCGTGGGATTACGAATGTACAGTACAGGCCACGAAAAAAAACAAAAAACGCAAAAAACACGGGGCCCCGTGGACCGCAAGTCCACGCTTTAGCGTGGAGCTCGAACCTTGTCGGCGTCTTTGAAGTCAGCGTGTCTGTGCACCGTGTAACACGGTGTGTCACAGTTCTGATGATAAATAATTCAAACATTCGCATTGCCCTTATTTAATAAAATTAAATCAACTTTCTTTCGAAATATTTGTTGTACTTTTTCCATATTGGTAATTGTAATGTTGTGAGAGGGAGGTAAAAGAACACGTCTGTCTAGTTCACTAACTATTTATTAAGTGACCATCAGATTGAACATATTCCCATGCATATGATAATGATTGACAACAGATGAAATTAGGGAGAGGAACTTTATCGTGAGAACTGATAATGTCAGAGAGCAGTGCTTGATTGAAAATAAACATTCTGATGCTGGCACTCAAATTGTTAATTATAGATTGACAGATTTAATTTAAAGTATAAACATTACATCCCTCCCTTTCTTTAATTGAAAGCATGTACATCGAAATAATTCTAATTAACTTTTACACTTATCAAAGTTCATGTGGGATTCATTTTGAGAATTGTCAGTAATTTTCTAAATGTCCGTTTAACTGTGATGTCTCTTTCCTCGGACTTTCTAAGACAACATATTCATGCATAATTAATAATGTTATGTACAAAATCACTATATAATTATGATTTGGGGATTATTATGCTCCATTACAAATCACACACTATGCGCACACGTAATCTTTCAGATGCGCTGGTGGTCTGCGCTCGCGAGTTGACCGTCTAGGCTCCGGCTGTGCGGTAATTAATTCATCATTCGAATCGTCTGGTACCTCGGATGACCTTTCGTTTTCTTTAATTTTCTTGAATAATGATGCGTTTCTGGTGACTTCTTTGTTATCATTCTTAGCGGTTATCATAGAGCCTTTTTGTTTAACTACTTCGAACGGCTCGGGACTGTATGGAGTTGATAGTTTGTCTTGTTTTTGTTGTTTTACAAGACTTTGTCTCCCGGCTGCAGCTTATGTTCTAGTGCTCCTCTTCTAATGTCTGCATACCTCTTCATTTTTTATTTTTCTTTTTGATCTTTACGTGATATTTCCGTGTTTTTGGACGATGGAATAATCTCGGGAATTCTGGTTTTTAATTTTCTGCCTAGTAGCAATTCCGCGGGTGTTGCGCTTGTTGTTGCATGTGGCGTCGCCCTATAATTGCGCAAAAAACTGTATAACTCTTGTTTCCAGCTTCTGTGTTCTGCATGTGCAGCTCGAATCGCTTTTCCAATGGTCTTCATGAATCGTTCCGCTTCTCCATTTGCTTGTGGCCATAACGGTGTAATATTCCTATGTTGAAATCCTAGATGTTTTGCGAACTCCTTGAAGAGCGATCCGTTGAACGGAGGTCCATTGTCGGTTTTGACTACATCTGGAATTCCAAATAAGGCGAAAACGTTGTCAAGTTTCGGTATCACTGCCTTTGCTGTTAATTTTGATAGACTTTCGACAACAGGGTATCTGGAGTAGTCATCGACAACGACCATTAGGTAGGATCCGGACGGAAATGGTCCACAGAAATCCATGCTGACCTCAGACCACGGTCGGTTGGGTAGGGGTGACATCTTCAATGGTGTGTACTTTTGTCCTGGTACTGATGCTTGACAGGGAACGCATCCTTTACAAAATTCTTCAACTTGCTTATCTATGTTGACAAACCAAACCTTTTCTCTGGGTAGCTGTTTAGTACGGACTATCCCCTGATGACCTTCATGCGCTAATTTGATCACTGTTTGTTGTAATGATCTAGGAATGACCAATCTGTTTTCGATGAGAAGAACGCTGTGGTTTCTGTCTCGGTGCAAAGTTAGTTCATTTTGCCTTCGTCTAAAAGTTTCAATCGTTTTATCGAGGTCTTTAGATTCTGGAATCTTTTTCTCGGAAATGATTGCTTCAATTACTTGTTGAAGGTAAGGGTCTTTTTGGGTTTCATCACTGAATTCGGCTAAGGTCAAAGTTTTTGGAACGGCATTCTCTGTTACGTAATTAACGTATTCCTCGGCAATGTCTGACAGACTGTTGATCCTTGTTGACTTAGACGGATGCCTGGACATGTAATCTGCCGCATTTGTTTTCCCTGGACGGTACTGTAGCCTAAAATGATATGGTTGCAGTTTTAATCGCCATCTCTCTAATCTCGCAGGAGGCTTTGAGTGCGGATTATTAAAAATCGCTTCCAATGGCTTGTGGTCGCTAATGACTTTGAAATCTTGTCCAAACAAATACAGATGAAAATGTTCACATCCCCAAACAACTGCCAGTGCCTCGCGCTCAGTTTGTGAGTATCGAGTTTCCACATCATTTAACGCACGACTTCCGTACGATATGACTTTGCCTTCTTGTGTTAATAACGCACCAAGTCCTACGGGACTTGCATCAACAATCATTGTTGTTTCTTTTGACGGATCAAAGTATGCCATAACTTTGTCACTTGTAAGTTCACGTTTCAACATGTCGAATGCTTTTTGTTGGTTAGGTTGCCACTCAAACTTCACATTTTGCTTGGTTAGCTCTCGTAATGGCGCAGTAATTGTTGAATAGTTCGGAATAAATCTTCCTACATAGTTTGTCATGCCTAGGAAACTTCGGACTTCACTTGCATTTGACGGTATTTCAGAGTTCTTTATCGCATCCACTTTTCTCGGGTCTGCGGAAATTCCCTCTGAACTGAATACATATCCATAGAATTCAATTTGCGTTTTGTTGAATTCACATTTTTCTTTGTTTAATGTGAGGTGTTTTTCTTCTAGTCGTTTAAAGACTGCCTCGAGATTTCTGTCATGTTCCTCGCAAGTTTGTCCAAACACTATGATGTCATCACTTATGTTTCGAACACCTTGTAAACCTTCAAGCGCTGTACTGAGCGAGTTCTGGAATACTTCTGCTGCTGAAGAAATTCCAAAGCTTAGTCGTTTGTATCGACGTAATCCAACATGGGTTGAGAACGTTGTGATGTTCCGAGAATCTGGGTGTAATTCCAGCTGATGATACCCAGCATTCAGGTCGAGTTTGGAAAATACTTTAGATCCATTGAGATCAAGAATCATGTCATCAATAGTTGGCGTGACATGGCGGTTGTCTCCTGGTAATGGAATTAATTTGATCCAACCCAAAGAGGTATTCGCAAGATTCTGAATCAGAGTCGCTATTACATGTCTCTAGCTGTTTCACAGATTTGGGTTTACGATTCATTGATTTGCTCTTTGATCTACAGACGGATGCGAAATGGCCTATCTTGTGACATGCGTTACATGTCTTACCTTTTGCCGGACACGGTCCTTTCAGATGGGGGAACTGTCCACCACAGTTGAAGCATCTTTCCTTTGAGGGTGTGTCCGTTCGATCCTTAGTACCATGTTTTCTTTCCAGAAATTTGCATTGCGACGTTTCCTCATTGCATGCACTTCCTCGGAAATTTTGTCGGTCTTCTCGATTTCGCTTGCCTGTTTATCCGATAGTTCAAGTGATCTTGCCAGCTTAAGTAAATCTTCTAGGTTTATGTCGTCCCTCAGTGCTCGTCTTCTTAGTCTTGTTGAGCTGCATCCTTGAATTATCTGTGATTTCACTTCTTTGTCATTGTTGTTTAAATCACAAGTTAACGACAATTGTCTTAGCTTGGTGTGGAAGGTGTCAATTGTTTCTCCGGGTTCCTGCTTGGCCTGCCTGAATTTGTACACTTCAAATTCAGTGTTCTTCTTTGGGGCGAAGTATTCAGTCAACCTTGCTACCGCCGTGTCGTAATCGTCACCTGTGTTAGGTAATGTCTCAAAAATCTCATTAACCTCCTCTCCAGCATAGTGAAGTAGCAGAGCTCTTTGTCTGGCTTTGTCGTTCTTTATTCCCATCGCAAGAATGAGATTGTCCAGTCTCAACTTCCATTTCTTCCAACGTATGTCCGTTGCATTCTCATGCACAGAAAATGGTGGAAAGTTTGGTAATGTCGACATTTTGGATAAACTTTTGCTACAAGTGTACTACACAGTAGAACTAGTATATATATATATCCAAAAGATTATTCACAGAATCCTCGTCGCCATTGTAATGTTGTGAGAGGGAGGTAAAAGAACACGTCTGTCTAGTTCACTAACTATTTATTAAGTGACCATCAGATTGAACATATTCCCATGCATATGATAATGATTGACAACAGATGAAATTAGGGAGAGGAACTTTATCGTGAGAACTGATAATGTCAGAGAGCAGTGCTTGATTGAAAATAAACATTCTGATGCTGGCACTCAAATTGTTAATTATAGATTGACAGATTTAATTTAAAGTATAAACATTACAGTAATTTATCGCACACAGATAATTCAACTAATAAGATGCCTGAAAACTTAATAACAACTTACTCGTGTCCAGAAAAAAAATATATATATACAATCACGTTTCAAGTTAAATCCTAATATTTACATTCGCTGTGTTTCTCTAGTAAGCTTACTGTGAAATTGATTTGAAAATCATTTTCGTGTATACTCACGCGTAGAAATATACACGGAGAAACGTGCGTTAACGTGACGTCACAATGAGGCTCCAGCGACGTTAGTTAAAGTGCAAGGATGTAGGGCAGCGACAAATTCAAATATTAAGCATATTTTAGTTGCTTCCAAACATGTAAAATGTAAATATAAGGAATGTTTTTTTCAGTTTAGTGTGAATTATTGGTGTGTGAATCACACAGACTTGCATGAAGGCATATTTTTCATGAAGCGCTATCGCGTTTCATGAAATATGCCTTCGTGACAAGTCTGTGTGATTCACACACCAATAACTCACACAAAACTGAAAAACATTCCTTAAATAATATTAGTCATAAAAAGTTCAATAGACTATTATTATATTACACTAAGAGGAAACACACTTTCATAAATGAATTACTTAATTGTCTCTACTTTTTATTTTGATTTTAACTGTGTTCAATTAAGGTAAAGATCCATACCACGTAAAATAACGTTATGTGACGTTATTCTCGTTTGTGACGTTATTACGTCAAACGCGCCCGACGCTTATTCTATCAAAAATGCCTGACGTCGACTTCACTTACCGTAAAGAAAGGTACATTAATTTCCAAATAAAAGGCATAAATATACGATGTTCAGTTATTTTCCGGGATGCAAGATCGAAGGAGAGTTTAAATTTAGGTGATTCGTCAAACCGAAAGTACAACAAAGATGGCATGGAAGATTCATTGTCTCGAGTACAAGATAACTAAAAGACTTCGACAATCGGGTCGTTTTTTGTCTCTGTAAGTTGAAGAAATACAGAGTAACAAATAAATGGTTCTCTTGTCGAAAGTCATTATCGTTTGCTTACATGTTTGTACATAGGCCTAGTACATAACCATTTTCGAACCATGTACGGCTCAAGTATTCAGGTACATGTACCTAACTACTTTGCTTCAATATTCCGATTTTTAAAAGTCGTTTTTCTCTTCTCATTGTTTGAATTAAAATATCGTCCTCTGGGGGATTGACTCGGGATTTTGAAAAAAAATTTTGGAAAACTTTTTTTTACAATGTATATCGTCGCTGTAATATCAAAATGTCGTAAGTCGATTTTTGGAGGGAAATTTTTATTGCTATTTTGAAATCTGCAATATCGAATACATGTTCTGTCAAAACGTCAAGTCTCTAGGCTAATTAGAAAGTGAGATACAGAGGTGTGATAAAAGCGCGTATGTCCATTGGATGCATTTTTTTTCTGACAAAAGGTCGTATGTCTTTGGGCACTGACAAAGATGTCACTGGCAGTCTGATATCAAGGGAAAAATTTTAGTAACTGCAATCAATTTATGAGTATGTTAATTCATAAAATACATTTTAGAGCGTTCTAATATCAGATTCGTATGCTTACAATACATTGTTAAGGTTTGTTTCAATGCTTTTCTGGAGATACGACACTTTGTACTGAAGAAACATCCAGGACAGAAAGGAAACACAAGACATACGACATTTTGAAAAAATATGTTTTTTATCTCTCCTGAAAAGTTGGGATTTTTGACTTACGACAATTTGATATTACGGCGACGATATATCATACATAAAAACAGTTACTGCACAAATATAAATGTTCTGTTATTTGGTATATCCTTGCACTGAAACATAAAATAATTATTGAAAAAAAAACCAAACAGAATATTTCATTTAAGTAGGAAAGGACATTGATACATTGCCAAAAAAAAATTCCATAATACACACATATTCTGAAAATTTAGAAAAATTTGTTTTAAAGCTAGTGCACAATAACCTTTAGCTACCATTTGTAGTGCTTTGGGTAGTGTATTGGTGCACCTGTCATAAGACTGACAGGTGTCCTAGGTTCGATTCTCTGGAAGTTGAAAAAATACAGAGTAACAAATAAATGGTTCTCTTGTCGAAAGTCATTATCGTTTGCTTACCGGGTATATGCTTGTACGTAGTACATAACCATTTTCGAACCTTTTGGGCGTCTTGTTATAATATGTTTGCTAAAGCTAATTTCCAAATTGATGATAAGATTACATATTTGTCATCTACGGTATATACAATATGTATAATAAATTAGAAAAACATATGTCGAACAGACCCAGGGGTCTATATCAGATGGGGAAGGGGATATTTCTGTCTTCAAGCACCTGTGAATAGTATAGCGATAGATATCAGTAGCTAATAAGATAATGTGGATCCCCAGTGTACTTTTCTAGATCACAATTTTATGCATTACCATGATTACTGTAATGATGGTTAGACTTAAACCCAAATAGCAATATGACAGTAACAAAGAAGGGAACACATGTATAAGATGATAAATAGGAATGCCTTTGAGATAATAGAGGGTGATATAAAAAGGAATAAGGAAAAGGATAAAATTTCAATCAGACAATTCACAAAATCAACTCTGTTTGTTAAGCCGATTGCTTACAGTGTTATAATTATATAATTAGGTTGTTCGTGCATGGTTTAATCTTGCATTAATCATTAAAAACAAAGATAACCAGTTTCAATCTAGATTTTATGGATTTATGTCAAGATTGTTGCTTTTTATTTGAATGAAAAATTATTAATACTGTCTCATAAAAGTTATGACTGTGTTTTGTTTTTCAAAAACATAAATTTTTCAACAGAATTTATTGCATAATTACCTTGACCCTTTGATCACCAAATCAATAAGGGTCTCCCTTGAGCCACTGAGAGTTGCTGTGTAAGATTTCAATGCAAAAGCTCAAAGGCTTCTTGAAAGTGTTACAGACAGACAGAAAGACACATGCACAGATGCACAGACCTAAATTTAGTATCCCCACTTTCAGTGAAAGGGGAGACAATTATATCAGGGTTTTTTTTGTTGTTGATGTTAAACTTGGTTTATCAAGATACTTGTAAAAAAAAGCATAACTTTCCCAGTGATTATTCAGTTCTTTCTTTTCCTACATAAATAATTTTTGATATCATATTGAGCTTTATATTATATACATCTACACATTTATCTATTTTAACATCAATATGCACTAAGCAACACAGTTCCAAAAGGCCAGATAATGTATAGGACCAGCATGCAAAACTCATAGCAAACCATTTTCCCCCAAATGAATGAAGATTACTCCCCAAACTTATGAGTTAGGACTTTGTGCTGTGTCATGTAGCATGATAAAAAGCTGAAGAAGAAAAAAATCTTCTTTTTTTTATTTCATTATTAGAATACAATTTTAGAGAAGTATAATTGAATGGCCTAAACTCCAGTACAAGTCAAATTGAACCATCTTGGATGCCCTGATTAAATGTTTTTATTTTAGGCACAGAGCAACAGAAAGAGTTTTTTTTTAACTAGACCATGTTCATAATGCATGTATCATTTCTCAGGTACTTTTAATATAAAAGTATACATACAAATTAAATATTCAGTACTTATAATGAAATTCATCAGCTCAGACAATTACAGGTTCGAGAATCTGTGTCAAAACTCATGGAACAAATGCTCACTGGATCCATTATATATATATTGCATCTAGTTGAGTGTAACATTGAAAATTTTCACCTCAAGAAAACCATTTCAACGTAGGCACAGCCAAAGT